CCTAGTTTTTTATGGGTTCCTGGCTGCACTCTTCTCATTCACGATGTGGGTTATGCTTCAGACTCTCAACGATGAGGTTCCAAAATATCGTGACCAGATTCCTAGCCCAGGACTTATGGTTTTTCCAAAACCAGTGACTGCATTGGAATACACATTCAGTGTGTCTGACCCAACTTCCTATGCAGGGTACATTGCAGACCTTAAGAAGTTTCTAAAACCATATACTTTAGAAGAACAGAAGAACCTCACAACCTGTCCTGATGGAGCACTTTTTGAACAGAAGGGTCCCGTTTATGTTGCATGTCAGTTTCCTCTTTTGTTACTTCAAGCATGCAGCGGTATGAGTGATCCTAATTTTGGCTATTCTAAAGGAAAACCTTGTATTCTTGTGAAAATGAACAGAATAATTGGATTAAAGCCTGAAGGAGTGCCAAGGATAGATTGTGTTTTGAAGAATGAAGATCAAACAAATATAACAACTTATCCTCATAATGGAATGATAGACTTAAAATATTTCCCATATTATGGGAAAAAACTGCATGTAGGGTATCTACAGCCATTAGTTGCTGTTCAGGTCACCTTGGCTCCCAACAGTGCTGAGAAAGAAGTAACAGTTGAGTGCAAGATTGATGGATCGCCTAACCTAAAAAGCCTGGATGATCGTGACAAGTTTTTGGGACGAGTTATGTTCAAAATCACAGCACATGCATAGTACAAGTAGGATATCTCCACAGAGTAAATGTTGTGTTGTCTGTCTGCACTTTGTATCAGCTGGACCTGCCATTCTAGAGTTGAGACCACCTTGGAGAAAGGTGTGTGGTACATGACACTGGGTAACATCATAACGTGCTTCCAGGTCATAGTGTTCAGTGTCCTCTGAAGTAACTGCCTGTTGCCTCTGCTGCCCTTTGAACAGTGTACAGTCGCCAGATAGGGACCGGTGAATACCTGATTCCAAACATGTAGGATGGGGGTCTTGTCCTGTTTTTATGTGGTCTAATTGCCAAATGTCTAAAGCCTAATATGCTGTGCTATGTAAATATTTTATGGATGTAACACTGGTCAACTATCATATTTTGATGTCAACAAAATTTTAGGGATAAAATGGTACCTGGCCAACATCAAGTGACTTCATAGCTGCAAGAAGTGCGGTGTGTGGAGGAGTTCTGTATGTGAGGAAGGAAAACAGAAAATAAAAGTGTATTTGAAAAAAAAAAAAAAAAAAGAAATGGTGGAGGAGGTTGTTTACCAGAACTACAAGGAAATTAAGCTTTAAAATAGAGAATTAAAGAATAAGAGAGCTGAACATACTGACATAATGATTCTTTGAAGAGAAACTTGAGGTTCACTATATCTAACATGTTTTTGAGATGGGGAGCTTGAATGTAGAATTATCAATTTTACTAAGTATGATAATAGTATTTTGGAGATTGTTTTAATGTAAGGAAACGTATTTTAAGGTGCATACTGAAAATTACACACACACACACACACACACACACACACAGTTAGAAATATTTGGAGGGGCTGAGGAAGAGAACACATTTGTCCCCGTTTTAGACAGCTCCATCCCAAATTCCTGGTATCTGGTTTAATTTTTTTTTTTGAGATGGAGTTTCGCTCTTGTCACCCAGGCTGGAGTGCAGCGGCGCCATCTCGGCTCACCGGAACCTCTGCCTCCTGGGTTCAGGCAATTCTCCTGCCACAGCCTCCTGAGTAGCTGGGATTACAGGCACACACCACCATGGCCAGCTAATTTTTTTGTATTTTTAGTAGAGATGGGGTTTCACCATGTTGACCAGGATGGTCTCGGTCTCGATCTCTTGACCTCGTGATCCACCCACCTCGGCCTCCCAAAGTGCTGGGATTACAGGCTTGAGCCACCGCACCCGGCCTCTGGTTTAATTAATCAACAAATATCAATTAAGCTTTGACTGTGGACTAAGCTCTTTATTAGATATTGTTGGGGGTATAATGGAGAATATGCTGGTATAGCTAAGAATGTGAGTTCACTTAATAAAATCATAGAGAAATGATATTCTAAACCATACAGCATACCCTAGAAACGTCACTGGCTTTCCAACACAGGGAGCCCAGTGGGAGCCATGTGTTCTGTGAAGGCTTCAGGAGGGTGGGGGGGGGGGGTATGAACAGAAATCTGAAGGCTGCACACAACGTGGACAGCTCTCTGTGGCCCATGTGTGTGCCTGCACACATCCGTGTCCCACACTCACACGTGTGGTACAGAGAGAAATTGGTCTTGTAACTTTCACTTCTTGGGATTAGTTAGCAAATTCTGCATACAGATTTTTCTTGCTATACATTTGGAATTAAAATGTCTTTGCTTTAGAGGGATCTTTTGTGGTTACTTCCTTAAGGTTATTATGTTATATAAACATTCGGTTTGTTCTGTGTTTGGAACTAGTATTATCTTCTCTGGGCTGCATGCTCACATGTGAAGGCTTAATCTTTTCTGAATCTGTGTCTGATCAGAAAGAATCTTGCTGTAGAAGATGTTTCATGCTGGTATTTTCCCTTTTTAAATTTTTTTATGGGCCGGGCACGGTGGCTCACGCCTATAATCCCAGCACTTTGGGAGGTCGAGGCGGGTGGATCACGAGGTCAAGAGATCAAGACCATCCTGGTCAACGTGGTGAAACCCCATCTCTACTAAAAATACAAAAATTAGCTGGGCATGGTGGCGCATGCCAGTAGTCCCAGCTACTTGGGAGGCTGAGGCAGGAGAATTGCTTGAACCCAGGAGACGGAGGTTGCGGTGAGCTGAGATCGCGCCATTGCACTCCAAAACTTTGTTTTGTTTTATGTTTTAGAGATGTGACTCACTCTGCTGCTCCAGGCTGGAGTGCAGCGGAAGTCACAGCTCACTGCAACCTTCAACTCCTAGGCACAAGTGATCCTCCTGTTTCAGCCTCCCATGTGGCTGGATTTACAGGGATAAGCTACCCCACCTGGCTCATGCTGCTATTTTTTCAAAATTTGAAACTGAATTCAGATCTAAAGATATTTTTCTAAAATTAGTATCTTCATTGTGAAAATAAAGAAAATTTAAGAGCTGTTAGAAACCCTCAAATGCTTTAAGCTTTGAGAGAGATGTGGCTGAGTTATATGGCCTCACATTGCTGTAACTTCTGTTTCTTAGATTATAGCTTAACTCTTCCTCATTGTCCTTGCTCTGTCATTGACTAGGAAAGACCAGTCCTCCCTCTTCCAATCACTGATCACTGTGATAGATTAACTGCCTCTTCTGTTATCCTATTCTTAACTCAGACCAGATAGTGCCCCAAACAGGGACCTCACAACAGTACTATCTTCAGTGTAGCATTAACATCAACACAGATCTCAAGTCTGCTAAGAAACATTTGCAATCTCTTTTCTCTGAAGCCAGCACTTGGAGGCTTCATCTACATGATAAAACCTTGGACTCCACAACGCTCATTGTCAACCAGACATTCCTTTCTACTGATATTCACTCTTTTTTTAGAGACTGAGTTTCACTCTTGTTACCCAGGCTGGAGTGCAATGGCACGATCTCGGCTCACCGCAACCTCCGCCTCCTGGGTTCAGGCAATTCTCCTGCTTCAGCCTCCTGAGTAGCTGGCATTACAGGCACGCGCCACCATGCCCAGCTAATTTTTTGTATTTGTAGTAGAGACGGGGTTTCACCATGTTGACCAGGATGGTCTCGATCTCTTGACCTCGTGATCCACCTGCCTTGGCCTCCCAAAGTGCTGGGATTACAGGCTTGAGCCACCGTGCCCGGCCGGATATTCACTCTTTCAATCAATTGCCAATCAGAAAAATTTAAAATCTACCTATGACTTGAAAACCCTCTCTGCCCACAGTGCTTTGAGTTGTCCTGCCCTTACACATTGCAAACCTTACATGTATTTCCAGATAGAACCATCGCAAACCTTACATGCATTTGATTGATGTCTGCTGTCTCCCTAAAATGTGTAAAACTAGACTGTGCCCTGACCACCTTGTGCACCTGTCCTCAAGATCTCCTGAGGGGTGTGTCCCAGGTCACAGTCATTCATATTTGGCTCAGAATACATCTCTTCAAATATTTTACAGAGTTTGACTGTTTTCATCAATACTTCTTATTACTGACTGGGAAACTGAAACCCTAGAAGGACCTATCAAGTAAGGAATGAGAATCAACCCCAGCATGCTTCTCATCTAGAGCACAGGATATTATAAAATGATGTTTGCAAAGCTCTGAGGGAAAATAATTTTGAACCAGAATTCCATGCCCAGCCCATCCATTATTTAAATGTGAGGGCAAAATCAATTACAATTTCAGAAAAGCAAGCGTTCAGGAAGGTCACCACATTCAAATACTTCCTGAAAGAATTGCTTGAAGACACGTTCCTCTGAAATAATGGAACAAATGAAGCAGAAAAGGAGGAATGTTTAAGATAAAAAAGTGATAAACAAAGAAAATTGTTTGCCATGTAGTTGTGGACAACATGTGTGGTCAATACATGGTTCTTAGGGAAAGGAACACATAATATAAAAATAAATCATCTAGAACTAAAATTCTGGATGATTAAAAAAAAATGTGGAGGCCGGGCGCGGTGGCTCACCCCTATAATCCCAGCACTTTGGGAGGCCGAGGTGGGTGGATCACGAAGTCAAGAGTTCAAGACCATCCTGGTCAACATGGTGAAACCCCGTCTCTGCTAAAAATACAAAAATTAGCTGGGCATGGTGGCGCGTGCCTGTAATCCCAGCTACTCGGAAGGCTGAGGCAGAATTGCTTGAACCCAGGAGGCAGAGGTTGCGGTGAGCTGAGATCGTGCCATTGCACTCCAGCCTGGGTAACAAGAGCGAAACTCTGTCTCAAAAAAAAAAAAAAAAAAAAAAAAAAAAAATGTGGAAAGTGATAAAAGTGAAATGGAGGTGAGGGGTAGTGAGGGTCCTAAAGGAATTATTTTGTATAGAAAGTGGCAGCCAAACACACTAATTCTCAACAATGATTTAAAAAATTTGAATGTTTATTAATAAATTAATAAAAGTGGACATGTGAGTTTCAAGCCACTAAAAGTAAAGAAGGAATGGACAAACTACAAAGTTGACCAAGGCTGAAAAAGATGTAAGAACAAGAAAACGTTATACAGAAAACACAAACTAAATGGCATTAATAAGACAAAATACATTAGTGGTAACAATATGTGAAGATGTTTCATGCTTAGATTTTTTTTTTTTTTTTTGAGACAGAGTCTTGCCCTGTCTCCCAGGCTGGAGTGCAGAGGCATAATCTTGGCTCACTGCAAACTCAACCTTCTGGGTTCAAGCAATTCTCCTGCCTCAGCCTTCAGAGTAGCTGGGATTACAGGTGTGTGGCCACCACACCCGACTAATTTTTTGTATTTTTAGGAAAGACGAAGGTTTCACTGTATTAGTCAGGATGGTCTCGAACTCCTGACCTCATGACCCACCTGCCTGGGCCTCCCAAAGTGCTGGGATTACAGGTGTGAGCCACTGCACCTGGCCACTTAGATTTTTTTTAAGAGACTGGGTCTTGCTCTGTCGCACAGGCTGGAATGCAGTGGAGCAATAATAGCTCACTGCAGCCTCCAACTCCTGGACTCAAATGATCCTGAAATGGGAATTTCAGCCTCTTGAGTAGCTGCGACTATAGGCATATATCACCATTTAAAATTTTTAAAATTTTAATTTTTTGTAGAGACAGGGTCTTGCTGTAGAGACCAAGCTGGTCTCAAACTCCTGGCCTCAAGCAATCCTGCTGGTTTGACCTCTCAAACTGCTAGGGTGACAGGTGTGAGCCACCACGGTGCCCTGGATTGCAAACTGCTTGCAAGAGCCATGCCTAAAAGTACTCCAGAGAGGAATTTGGATTTATAACTGGGCAAAGAGAACAATTGCTTTAAGCTAAAATTCAGGAAGGATTTGGCGGCAGCAGCAATTTTGGAAGGCAAGAAGAACCTGAGCAGACTCCCCTCAGAGTCCTACAGAAGGAATGATGGTGGGTGGGGGTGAAGTCCACCCAGGTGCCAGGAGACAGGGAAGCAGAATGGGGAGCCTAGGGGATACTGCTGGTATGGATCTGATTAGAGGAGGTGACATCAGAAACCATTATCAGAGAATGCTCTGTACCCTAGTTTGCTAGGAAAAGATAATGAGTATTAATGAATGCACTTCTGGCAGCAAAGGACTTTGTTTCTATTGTGAGTTATTTTGGTATGCATGACCTCAAAGCAAGTGACAGCTCACAGTGGGCTCCAGTTTCACCATCTGAAAGTCTTATCATGCTGTGAATAAACCATGAATAACCTGCCTCAGTAGGCCAAGCGTCTTGGAATCTGTGTTACTAAATGTGCAGTGCCAGCTGTCCTGTCAGTGTAATCCCCAAATCCTTGTTGAGATTTGCCTGGCCCATCACTACAGAAGCACAACAGAGCCCCAGGAGGACAGGGCAGGTGGGAGATCCAGGCTCTGCCCACACAGATAGCTAGATGCAGAGACTGCCTTAAACTCCAGGTGGATCTCCCCTCCCCCCACCAAGGCCTGCTACTTCCAGGAGGTGTTTGTCCACCAAGTGGCAACACCTTTTCGTGCACTCTGGCTATGAGGCCAAGCCTGGATTTATGATCCTTCCCTGAATGTCTCGGGAAGCCAAGGCAGGGGCCTGAGGAGGTTCCACTTTCCTTCAAAGCAGCTCACTCTGACAGCAACCACAAATGAGCACATTTTCTAGAGCTTCTCTGGTGAGGGGGTGTTCCATTTCCACGAAGACTATGTGATCGGGGTTTGTAGAACAAGCTCGTGCATTTAGATTCTGTCTGTGCGACAGTCAGATGTCAGTTCTAACGTGTAATCTAGTCTTTATGTCTTTTAAATTCCTAATGGTAACTATGTAGCCACATCTTCAAAGCAGGGGTAAAAATCAGAACTGAGCCTGTAACTGACACTATCAGAAAGAGCCACAGGAAGATTCGGTCTAGAACTTGAGCGACGAATTTCCAGTCTTGTACTACCTGCAAAAGAGAAAAAGATGCCCTTCATTCAAGACACTGAGCAACTGTCCTGAATTCATCTCAAGGGATTTAAAAAGAGTAACATTCATATTTATAGCATTTACTTGTTTTCAAAAGCATGTAATGTCCCAACCACAGTACAGGTTCAGGTTCTTTCAGGGATTTCCCTAATTGTGCCCAAAGAAAACAGCTTGGAACACTCATCAGCACTGAAGAAGAAAAATAGAAACAATAGAATTCTGTCTGCATATGTAAACGTTACTGATCAGAATGGGAAAAGTCTAATTTGTACATGAATAAAAAGCCAGTATATCTTACTAGGGTGCTTCCTGATACACGTATGAAAAGAATCACAAATTTGTAATTTAGGAGCGTTTGTGGCCAACTGTCACAGGCTTTCTTTTCTTCCACTCCAGCTGTGCTGCAGTTCCAGAAGGAAGGGCACAGCCAAGGAGGAGAACCCAACAGGACAAGACAGAAATTCATGAGGGAGAGGAGACTGAGTGCCTTTATTAGGAACAGAGGTGCAGCGAGTGGGCAGCAGGTCCATAAACATGAAGTCAGAGCACGAACAAGCTACCAGGCTGCGGAAGTCTAAAAGGAAGGGGAGTCCTCATCCTTCTAGAGAAAAAAAATGTCCTCTGTCTCAGGGAGCGGGGGGTAGGGGGAAGAACCATTTAAATCTTTATATTTGTTTGTTTACTTATTTTTGAGATGGAGTCTTGCTCTGTAGCCCAGGCTGGAGTGCAGTGGCATGATCTTGGCTCACTGCAACCTCCGCCTCCCGGGTCCTGGTTCAAGCATTTCTCCTACCTCAGCCTCCCAAGTAGCTGGGATTGCACAAGCCATCATGCCCAGCTAATTTTTGTGTTTTTTAGTAGAGACGGGGTTTCACCATGTTGGCCAGTCTTGTCTTGAACTCCTGACCTTGTGATCCACCTGCCTTGGCCTCCCAAAGTGCTGGGATTACAGGCGTGAGCCACCACGCCTGGCCTATTTATTTATTTAATTGATTGATTGATTGATTTTTTGAGACGGAGCCTTGCTCTGTTGCTCAGGCTGGAGTGCAGTGGTGCAATCTCAGCTCACTGCAAGCTCTGCCTCCCAGATTCAAGTGATTCTCCTGCCTTAGCCTCCCGGGTGGGACTACAGGTGTGTAACACCATGCCGAGCTAATTTTTGTATTTTTAGTAGAGACAGGGTTTCTCCATGTTGGCCAGCCTGGTCCTGAACTCCTGACCTCAGGTGATCTGCCTGCCTTGGCTTCCCAAAGTGCTGGGATTCCAGGTGTGAGCAACCGTGCCTGGCCTGTATTAATATTTTTAAAAGATGTAAAGAAACAAACAAAAAAACCTCCAAATTGACAGCTGAATGTCTGTCTAGCAGCAGTCACATTACTAGTGGTTTTAAAAAAATTTTAAATGGATGAAAAACATAACAGGATATATGAGAGAGGATATATATGAGGCAGTGTCTGTGAATGCAAGATAAAATATAGAAGGGTATTTCTAAAAAAATTCTTTCATCAGTTTGTTTATGGGATCAGGCTCTTGGCACTAATCTTCATCAATTTTAGAATAAAATAAACTCTATAAATTGAAGTTATTATATAAATTGAAAATATGTAGCCGGGTGTGGTGGCTCACGCCTATAATCCCAGCACTTTGGGAGGCTGAGGCGGGTGGATCACGAGGTCAGGAGATTGAGACCATCCTGGTCAACAAGGTGAAACCCCGTCTCTACTAAAAATACAAAAATTAGCTGGGCATGGTGGTCCATGCTTGTAGTCCCAGCCACTCGGGAGGCTGAGGCAGGAGAATTGCTTGAACCCAGGAGGCAGAAGTTGCAGTGAGCCGAGATCTTGCTATTGCACTCCAGTCTGGGTAACATTAGCGAAACTCCGTCTCAAAAAAAAAAAAAATGTAACTTGCTTTAGGCAACAGATCACTTTATTACGCTGAATATTTGCACATCAAATACTATTTTCATTCCACTAGGGAAGGACTGTTTAGAAGGATGGGCTAGGCATGGTGGCTCACACCTGTAATCCCAACACCTTGGGGGGCCAAGGTGGTGGATCACATGAAATCAGGAGTTTGAGACCAGCCTGGCCAACATGGTGAAATCCCATCTCTACTTAAAAAAAAAAAAAAAAATTAGCCGGGCACAGTAGTGCACACCTGTAGTCCCAGCTACTCTGGAGGCTGAGAATCGCTTGAGCCCAGGAGGCAGAGGTTGCAGTGAGCTGAGATTGTGCCACTACACTCCAGCCTGTGTGATAAGAGTAAGACTCTCTCTCAAAAAAAAAAGGAGGATGAGATTTAGAATGGTGTGAATTCACACTTGACTGCTTACAGAACAAAGCTGAGCCCCTGTGTGCTGGTCACACTGTGCATATTTTTATTTTATGTGACTTAATCTTCATACAAACCTTTCAAGGTATGGTTCAGAAAACTGAGTCTAAATAACTTGTCTAAGTCATTCAGAATAGGATTGAGCCCAGGACTGTTTTCAGTCTGAAATTCACACTCTTCCCACACTACCTTTGTTTCTCCTTCTCATTCTCCTTTTTTTTTTCCTGAGATGGGGGTCTTGCTTCAATTGCCCAGGCTGGTCTCAAATTGTGTCCTTAAGTGATCCTCCTGCCTCGGCCTCCCAAAGTGTTAAGACACATGCCCACCCACACCCAGTTAATTTTTAATTTTTTTGTAGAGACAGGGTCTCACTATGTTGCCCAGGCTGGTCTTGATCTCCTGGACTCAAGTGATCTACTCGCCTCAGCCTCCCAAAGTACTAGGACTACAGGTATGAGCCACTGTGCCTGGTCCACACTTCGGAAAAAAAAATCTGTAAATTAAATAATCACATCCTCTTTCCTCACCAAAATACGTGTCGTAACACTAAATTTTATATTCTGATTCTTTCTGGTCTTTCATTTCTAAATACTGTGGTTGAACGTATCTATAATCCCATGCAAAATGGGAGATAAATTACCAGAGACCAGGATAATCAACTTAAAATGTGTAATTATTTAATAGAGAATTGAGGCTAATTATAACAAACAGTGCACTTAATTAACAGTTGCTTCACTTTTGCTCCCTATCTTTTATGAATTACTTCCTAAAAATTCATACAAAAATTGCTATGTCATGTCAGGGCTTGCTTTAAATGTTATATGTATAAACAGCAGTCAAAATATTTGTCTTTGGTTCACCTCTATGGTGGCATTATCAGGAATACCAGTTTACTCACCTGGCTGATAAAATGTTCTTTCTTCACATGGCTTGAAATGTACCTAATGGAATCAGCAGCTTTTTCCAAAAAAGCAACCAGAACTTTTTCTCCATCACTAAGCTGTTTATGTTTCTTTTTTTCAAGGACTTTGCTTTTCACTACTGGTTGACTCTCCTCTTTCTCTGGAATTGAGTAGCGATCTACGTGGTCTTTCATGCAAAGTAACTTTGGAAGTTTCTGCAGAAAGAGCCTCTTAACCCAGGGGGCCATGGGCTGGTAAGTGGAAGAAGATCTATGATGAACGTTAATGACAAACACGGTTACAATGATGGACAGAGTCACGAAAATCATGATGAACAGCAGGTACTCTCCAATGAGAGGAATGACTTTGGAAGACGATGGGATGATTTCTTCAATCACTAAAAGGAAAACTGTCAGAGAAACCAAGACCGATGTGGATAATGAAAGTTTTTCTCCTTCATCAGAAGGTAAATAGAACACAAGAACTGTTAGGAAAGACAGACCCAGACAGGGGATGATGAGAAAGAGGGTATAGAATAAAGGCAGGCGTCTCAGGACGAAGGAATAGGTGATAAAGGGATAAGAGTACACGCCGTCCCTTCTGTTCCCCTTCATCCCCTTTGCGTTCAGTATTTCCCATTCTCCATTGTCGAAGAATTCTTTTCTGTCAACATTTTCATTGATCAAAATGAGGTCGACCATGGTGCCATCGTAAGTCCAGGATCCAAACTTCATCGAACAGTTCTGCCGGTCGAACGGGAAAAACGTGACGTCCATGGTGCAGGAGCTTTTGTAGCTGGCGGGAGGGGTCCAGACAACGGTTCCGTTTGATTTCACAATGACCTTGGTCATCAGGGAGCCTTCGAAACGGCCGTCAGCGCTGCAATCAAAGCAGTTTCACCTTAGCAGCCGGTGGAGCATGTGCTAGTTTTTTTTTTCCTAGCATTGACTATTTCTATTTTATGGCTTTTCTACCACAACATCAGGCAATTGTTTTAAAAGAAACAATTATTTCATCATTTAAAGTTGAATTTTTTAAAGTATTTTGCCTGAATCAGAATTTTCTATTCCTAGTGTTAATTGACCAATTTCATTTTCTTTTGTGATTTTACTTTCCTTTTTCTTTTTACTTCTTTAAATATTTATTTTTTATTTTTTTCCCTATAAGTAAGAAACAATGTGATACTTACTTTTCAAAGAGAACTATGTCAGGAAGCCACAGAGATTCTGATGGAACTTTAATGGAATGGATCCCACCATAATCATCAGGATTCCAGCGTAACTTGTGGTCTGTCCATTCCTGCAGGAAATTAGCACATTGTGACTTTATTCTCAAAATTCGGTGTATAAGATCTTGAGATCTTCAAGTTACTGTTAGCTTACCAAGCCACTGTTTTATTATGAAAGGGAAATTGTCCTGGTTGGACTTCGTGACCCTATTGAGGACTCAGTACGGGGTTCACCTTGAGCCAGCCTGGCCTCTGATCTCACCCTGGCCCACACAGTTTGCATGTTAGGCATTTCCAAAATTACTGTATCTGCCTCACCATGAAGAGGCTCTGCAACAAATGCCACTGATTCATGATCTGTCATCTGTCTTTTCAGCCTATTTTCGCTTAAGAAACAAACAAAAGAAAAGCAGGCTGGGTGTGGTGGTGCATGCCTGTAATCCCAGCACTTTGGGAGGCCCAGGCAGATGGATCACAAGGGTCAAGAGATTGAGACCATCCTGCCAACATGGTGAAACCCTGTCTCTAACTAAAAATACAAAATTTAGCTGGACATGGTGGTAGGCACCTGTAATCCCAGCTACATGGCAGGCTGAGGCAGGAGAATCGCTTGAACCCAGGAGGTGCAGGTTGCGGTGAGCTGAGATCACGCCACTGTATTCCAGCCTGGTGACAGAGTGAGACTCCGTCTCCAAAAAAAGAAAAGCAAAAATGGGCTTAATTCAGTTTATTCTGGGGGAGTGGATAAAAGGAGAGTAGATACTTTGATCACATGCTAGTAGGTGCAAATGATTTTGAACACTACTCAAGAGGATTGGACAAACATCCACCAGCTATGTTAATATGAGACAGCCATTTTCCATGGACTCTTCTTGATTACATTAGAACTCATATCCAATAAAAAATGTTTTCCAGGCATTTTAAGTTTCAACCTGAATTTATTTTTGGAGCTCCCAATTATAATTTTAAATTATATTTTTAATGTTATTAGCCTCCAGGAGCTTACACATTTTTCTTCATAAAGACGAAATCACACAGCATGTTTTACAGGGGCTGACGAATCTAGATATACACCTGACCATAAATTGGTCAGACTGTGAAGGTCAAGAGGATGATGTATGGATGATCCAATCACAGCAGAGTGGACTCTATTAAATATAAAGATTTTAGGTCCAGAATCATAGGAAATCTGATCTGACAATTAAATTCTTCTGTTCTATGGCCCCTCATGTGGATAGCTGAGTACAGACGAAGGAGGTCAGAGAGTTAGAAGGGCATGCCCAGCATGAGAATTCCTGGAGTCCAGTGATGCCAACTTTGCCATTAAAGCACCAGGAGTCAGCTGATGGATGATGTCACTAGACGGTAAAATACTGAAATATGCATGATGCCTGACAAATGATGAAACTCCACACCCCAGAGGAAACATTGTCTATCTCAGACAACATTTTTTAGACTTGATCCCCCCTAAAAAAAGTTTAAAATGTATGGGCCTTTAAAAAGCTAGAATCTAAAGTATAACAAAATGGTCTGATATTTAAGGAAAATGATGCATATGAAACTGACCATTTAAAAGCCCAATAATAAAGTATTCACCATGTTTACTTGGTGCTCACGAGCTTCTCTTTTTTTTCTTCCTCCTCTGCCCATTTTGAAGAGCAAATACAATCTTGCTAGGAATAATCTGTCTCCTACCAGTGAAACTCTTACTATTACTGGTAGGCCTGAGTCTCGAAATCTTGGAGGGAACTCACTCAGGTTTGTTTCAATTCCACTTTATGCACTTTGTAAAAATTTACTTAAAATAAAACTCACTCTTTCGTTTACAGTTATTAATGCAAATAGCTGTATAATAACTGCCGGCATTAAGACACCAAAACAGTTTTTTTGCCCAAAATATTTCCCAGGTGGTGCCCTTTTGTAATCAACCGCTCCCACATTGCCAACCCTCGGAAATCCTGATTTGTTCTCTGTTTCTGTAATTTCAGCCTTCCTTTTTAGAATGTCATGTAAATGGAATTAACATAACATTCTGATTTTGACTTCTTTACTTAGCAGTGTGTTTAGATCCTTTTTTTTTTTTTTGAGATGGAGTTTCGTTCTTGTCGTCCACACTGGAGTGCAATGGTGCCATCTTGGCTCACTGCAACCTCTGCCTCCCGGGTTCAAGTGATTCTCCTTCCTCAGCCTCCTGAGTAGCTGGGATTACAGGAATGTAACACCACACCCAGCTAATTTTGTATTTTTAGTAGAGGCAGGGTGTCTCCATGTTGATCAGGCTGGTCTCGAACTCCCAACCTCAGATGATCCATCTGCCTCGGCATCCCGAAATGCTGGGATTACAGGCATGAGTCACCATGCCTGGCTGTTTTTTTTTTTTTTTGAGACGGAGTTTCGCTCGTTACCCAGGCTGGAGTACAATGGTGTGATCTCTGCTCACTGCAACCTCCATCTCCTGGGTTCAAGCAATTCTCCTGCCTCAGACTCCCGAGCAGCTGGGACTACATGTGCCACCATGCCCAGCTAATTTTTGAATTTTTAGTAGAGACGGGGTTTCACCATGTTGACCAGGATGGTCTTGATCTCTTGACCTTGTGATCCACCTGTCTCGGCCTCCCAAAGTGCTGGGATTATAGGTGTGAGCCACCGGCCCTGTTTTTTTTTTTTTTTTTAATTTGAGACAGGATCTCATTCTGTTGCCCAGGCTGGAGTGCTATGGTGACGTCATGACTCACTGCAGCCTCAACCTCCTCAGCTCAAGTGATTCTCCTGCTTCAGCCTCTCAAGTAGCTGGGACTACAGGTGTGTACCACCACACCCAGCTAATTGTTTTGCTTTGTAGACACAAAGTCTGCCTATGTTGCCCAGGCTGGTCTTGAAGCCCTAGGCTCAAGCCAAGCCTCCTGCCTCATCTCCCAAAGTGTAGAGATTACAGGCATGAGCCACTGAGCCCAGACTCACTGTGTTTTTTTAATATATATTTTCTTAATGACTAATCATGACTCTCTTCATTTCCCATACATGTATCTTATTTGAAGTGTATAACGTTTAATCAAGTTGTTTTCTTACTGAGTTTTTTTTTTAATTTTTGAGATGGAGTCTTACTCCGTCACCCGGGCTGGAGTGCAGTGGATCTCAGGCTTAGTGCAACCTCCGCCTCCCAGGTTCAAGCGATTCTTCTGCCTCAGCCTCTCCAGTAGCTGGGACTACAGAAACACGCCATCATGCCCAGTTAATTTTTCTATTTTTTAGTAGAGACGGGGTTTCACATATTGGTCAGGCTAGTCTCAAACTCCTGACCTTGTGATTCGCCCACCTTAGCCTCCCAAAGTGCTGGGATTACAGGTGTGAGCCACTGAGCCTGGCTTTACTGAGTTTTTAATTCATTCTGGATAAAAGTGGTTTGTAAAATGTTTGATTTATAAATATCTTCTTTCAGGGCCAGACGCGGTGGCTCACGCCTGTAATCCCAGCACTTTGAGAGGCCGAGGCGGGTGGATCACGAGGTCAACAGATTGAGACCATCCTGGTCAACATGGTGAAACCCGTCTCTACTAAAAATACAAAAAATTAGCTGGGCATGGTGGCGCGTGCCTGTAGTCGCAGCTACTCAGAAGGCTGAGGGAGGAGAATTGCCTGAACCCAGGAGGCGGAGGTTGCGGTGAGCCGAGATAGCGCCATTGCACTCCAGCCTGGGTAACAAGAGCAAAACTCCATCTCGAAAAATAAATAAATAACCAACCAACCAACCAAATAAATAAATAAATATCTTCTCTCAGTCTTTCTTTTCCTCTTAACAATGTCTTTAGGGCCGGGCGCTGTGGCTCAAGCCTGTAATCCCTGCACTTTGGGAGGCCGAAGCGGGTGAATCACGAGGTCAAGAGATCGAGACCATCCTGGTCAACATGGTGAAACCCCGTCTCTACTAAAAATACAAAAAATTAACTGGGCATGGTGGCGCATGCCTATAATCCCAGCTACTCGGGAGGCTGAGGCAGGAGAATTGCCTGAACCCAGGAGGCCGAGGTTGCGGTGAGCCGATATCGCGCCATTGCACTCCAGCCTGGGTAACAAGAGCAAAACTCCGTCTCCAAAAAAAAAAAAAAAAAAAAAATGTCTTTAACAAGTCAGAAATTCTAAAAGTTCATTTATCAGTTTTATTGTTTATGGACTGTTTCATATCTAAGAAATCTTTGCCTAACAGGGTCACAAAGATTTTCTCATATGCTTTCTTCTAGAAATTTCTAGTATTAAAATTAAGACTTAGGTCTAAGATCCATTTTCAGTTAATATTTTATAAGGTTGCAGGAATAGGGCGAAGATCATTTTCTTTTGCATGTGAGTGTCCTACTGTCTCATCACCTTTTGTGGAGAAGGCTAAACATTCTCCATGGAACTTCGTTTGTGCATTTGTCAAAAATCAGCTAACTGTGTTATGTGCATGGGTCTATTCCGGACTCTGTTCTGTTTCATTAATTTGTGTATCTGTTCCCCCCCCCCTTTTTTTTTTTAAGACAAAGTCTTGCTCTGTCCTCTAGGCTGGAGTGCAGTGGTGTGATCTTGTCTCACTGCAACTTCCACCTCCCAGGTTCAAGCAATTCTCATACCTCAGCCTCCCAAAGAGCTGTGCCACACAGGCATGTGCCACCATGCTCCACTAAATTTTGTTTTTAGTAGAGACAGGGTTTCACTATGTTATAGCCAGGCTGATCTTGAACTCCTGACCTAAAGTGATCCACCCACCTTGGCCTCCCAAAGTGCTGAAAATTATAGGCATGGCCCTGTGTATCTCTTTCTGACAATATCACACTGCTGTGATTACTATAGCTTTATGTAAATTTTTGAATCTGCTTGTTGCTATCTATAAGATATCCTGCTAAGATTTTAATTGTGATTGATTTGAATATACAAATTAGTTTGGTGAGAACTGGTATCATAATACTGAATCTCCTGACCCAGGAATATTATTTGTGTCTCCATTTACTTAGGTCTTAATTTTTTTTTTTTTGATTAGTGTTTTGTAGTTTTAGGCTTATACACCTTGCACATATTTAGTTAGATTTATACCTAA